CCCCAAAACCCCAAAACCCCAAAACCCCAAAACCCCATAATATCTTGGATAAATGAATATAAATTTTATTTATAACTTTATGTGGCGGTCCGGTTCATCTTCCTTTGTCAAAGTTAGGCCATATTTCCTGGTAAAGAAATGCCTATAGTACTCATTAAGATTCATGTCCTTCAGTGGTTTTTCAATCCGGTCAAGCTTCCGATCGGCTTGGCTCTTCTTAACTTTCTCAACAAATTCTTTATATCCTGGGTAACCTATATTGGATAAGCAAGTACTGGTACTCCTATTTTCAAACAGTAGCCATATGTTCCCTCTTGATAACAATCACGTTTCTCTTGCTTGACTTAGGTCTTCTAGGACTTTCAGCTTTCTGTTTGTTATATTCCTTGATCCTCTTGAGACTGAAATGTTAAAATAAAATTACTAAATATCGAGAGAAGGTTTTTTCATGAAGTGTGGTTTGAGCCTCTTTTTCCTCTTCTTAGCACTCTTGGAGCGGATAATATCCACTAAATATCAACAAAACTTCTACTTGATCCTTTCCTTGGAGAAGAAAATACTCTTGTATCAGGTAATCTCTCTGCTAGCTTTGCTTGTATCTCTCCATTGGGATAATATGATGGCTGGAGAGGAATTTCTGTTGGATAAAACACAGGTGCGGATGCATTCCGAATCATATGTCTATGATAATAAAATAGAATTACTTAGAATCATGCTGGGCTTTACTTTGTTTCTTCTCTGCACTGGCTTCTTTATCACTTTCCTTCTCTACAAAGAATTCATCTTAAAATAAGCTAAATCTGAAAATTTCAAAAAATGCGAACTCCTAAAATCCAATCCTAATTTTTCCAAAGTCCTCAAAAATTACCTAGAACTTCCTCCTCGATCTCTTCAGTCACTAATGAAGTGTCATCATTTTTATTAACATTTCGTGTAGTTTTGGCCTAAAATAACCCTGATCACTAATCAACTTACTTTCTCTTTGAATGTGCCCATTCTGAACTTGTAGTCTTGCTCTAGGAATTTACAGTCTAGCTTACCTTCTTCATCTTCGCTCTCTGAGATATCCTTGGCTTTCTCTTGTCTCTGGACGGCTCTCTAAACATAGAAGGTTTGGATAGGAAACAACAAAGAGGTTACCTCCCGAAGTAAGAAACAGTTTGGGTAAGCCACTCCATCGATCTTGATAGGCTTAGAAACTTTACAGCTCGAGTTTTCTACTGCGAACATTATTCGAGGCGATACGTTGTAGCTTTTGGGCACATCATTGTATCTAGAATTATAGGTATTTAATGTACTTCTCACGTATCCTGTCTGCTAAAGCCATCTGCTTCAACTTCAGCTTATTTATACTTCAATAAATGTGGAGGAAGGCCTAATGATGCTAAAACTTATTAAAAACTAAGCTTGAAAAATCCTTACTTTTCTTCTGACTGATTCTTTTCACTTTCTTTGGTCAAGTCCCTAAAAGTCAGGATGTTCTTACAGCTAAATCTCTGTTGCTTGGTCTTCTTCTTCCTCACCTTGGGGGTCTCCTCATCCATTACCACTATATTATATTTCAATTATATCCAGTATTATGGGGTTTTGGGGTTTTGGGGTTTTGGGGTTTTGGGG